TATATAAATAGCTTGAATGTCTTACAAAGTTCTAGAAATTTTTTTTTGAACTTTGAGCTTGGTCAATAAAATAAATGTAACCACCAATTTCACATCCAAGTCAAGTTGACTTGAACTGAAATCCGACCCATATCTAACTCGGATCTAGTGTTTTTAGGCTTGAACCCAGACTCAGACTCTGATCTGGTCGACCGCCTTGGCCATCGGGTTGTCCCCGACTCATCACATTCGAAGAATTAGATAAATCTGTTCTCGATGCCATGCGAGAAAGAATCCGTTGCCCAATGTACCCAATCGGCTCGTTTGCAAGCTTTAGCCAAAGTGAATCCATTGACCATTTACAGTCAGTTTCAATGAGTCTCTGGAAAGAAGAGGATGCTTGTGTAGAATGGCTGAATGACAAGGAACCTAAGTCAGTTGTGTATGTGAATTTTGGCAGTGCAACAGTTTTAACACACAATCAACTCAATGAGTTCTCTTGGGGTCTTGCGAATAGCCAAAGGCCTTTCATATGGGTCATTCATGAAGATCCCGTAATTGGCGAATCGGCAACGATAGGAAAAGTATTTGTCGAAGCAACCAAAGAAAGAGCGCTAATCTTGAGATGATGTAACCAGATGAAAGTACTGTCACACCCTGCAGTTGGTGGCTTCCTTACTCAGTGGATGGAATTCTACATTTGAGAGCATTAGCAGTGGGATGCTGACCATATGTTGGCCTTTTTTTTGCCGATCAACAAACAAATTGCTGGTACGTTTACAAGGAATTGGGCATTGGTATGGAGATAAACAATGGTGTTAAGAGGCAGGATGTGAAGGAATTGATAAGGGAATTGATGGGAGGAAAGAAGGGTAAAGAGATGCAGTTAAAGGCCAAGAAATTGAAGGAGAGCTCAAAAAGTGCTCTTCAAATTGGAGGCAGCTCATATGATAACTTTGAGAGGCTATTAAAGGAAATGCTTCTAGAGAAACATTAACCAAATTTAGATATCACAAATTTTACTTGAATAATTTTAGAAGCTTGTATGAGAACATATCCTCCTATTAATTGCATGGAAGTGTGAGACTTGTCTGCGCATTTGTTTGCAAGGCCGAGCAGAAAAAATAATGTGTGGTGTTTATTTGGAGCTTTGAAAGATTTTGCTGCATATATGTAAGTAATGTGGAGAATGAGAAGCAATTTTGCACAAGTTATCTTGAGACTACTAAGTATACAAAGCACACATTGATTCTTAGGACTTGTTTAGCTCCTTGGAAATGGGTATCCCAAAGAGATGTCTTTCTTAGAATTGTTATCTTCTAAAATTAGCATCTCCTAATAGAGGTGTCTGTTATTTGGATAGCATCTGACAAGAGACTTAAAAGATGCTTGTCCACTGTTGGAATTTCTTGGAAGATGTGCCTCCCCAGAATTATATTTTGTTAGTATATTATATTATGATACTATAATATAATATATTCACCATCAGAGCCTTTTACAAATATTTGGGGTCAGCTATTGAAGATTCATTGAAACTTTTGTCAAAGTTTTATTATGGTTGCTAAAGATATGGTACGGATTAAGTGAAAGTTTAAGATCCTCATCGTTGTTAGACATATTATATTATAATTAAAAAATTATTATATATAGTTAATGTTAATTAGGCATTATTATATATGATTATTTTATATATTAAAATATTAAAAGATAATATAGGCATTATTGTATATGATTATTATATATATTAATATATTATAAGATAATATCATATATAATTATAATTTATGGAAATTACTTACTTATAGTAATATATAATTAAATAAAAGTATAACATATAATTAATATAATTAACATAATTATATAAGGAAAAAGTTTATATAAGGTTGCAACCTGAAAATTTAGAATGACAGATGCATCTCAAAACTCCATCGAAAAAAGTTGTTTTATTGTTGAAAAACCTGTAGTGCTCTGATGCCACTTGTTGTGAGCGAAGTTCTAAATCCGACGGGTTGATGTCTGGCAAATAAAGAATGAGAAATAAAGTATGAAACACATACGACAAGAACACAAAAGATTTTGGAACAAACCTCGACAAAAACCCAAGTCGAGCAAACCTTTTTAAACCACTTTCCCTTCCTTCACTTTACTTCTGGCAACCATTACCAACAACACCAAATAGACGCGAGAGCAACGACAAATTTACTTTCTCTCAAATTAAAAGAGGAATAACTCAAAATCTCTATGGGAACCGCTTCTCTACAAGAAACAAACAGGCACCTCAATCTTCGGGAGTCTAAAAGAGGCACCATCACAATTTTTTTATCCAAATGAAGCTTTCTTATCTTTAAGAGGAAAATTGCATCTTATGCCAGGAGGCTCTAGCTCCCTCTCTCTCTAGAGGAACCACCATTCCCATATGGTGACCCAAATAAGGCACGCGAATTCTCTACGCTTTCATCATATATATATAATTATGAATCTACACAAAATAGGAAACTTCTTATTAATATAACATATATATAAATAGATCAAGAGATAAATCCAAGCGTCCTAATCTTTTTGGATTTTTATTTCTTTTAAGAAACTTATCAATATTAATCTCAATCCTTAAGGGAATATCTCAATCTCACATAATATGGGAAAATCTCAATTCCACATAATTTGATAATATCTCAATGTTGGTGATTTTGGATAGCACCAAATCCAGCAATCTCTACCTTGATATCAAAATCAACTTCTCACCATGCCAACATCCATGGGATAGCTTCATAGAGTCTTCATCTTTTGCCAAATATATTCCTTCATCATTCTTGTTGAAAAATAGTGTTTGCCATAAAATTTCTCCACCTCGAATCTTGTATTTGAAACCTTTACTGCCATACCGAAAAACCCAAACGGGGCTTTGATACCACTTGTAGTGCTCTGATACCACTTGTTGTGTGCGGAAGCTCTAAACCCGATGGGCTGATGTTTGGCAAATAAAGACTAAAATTCATTGTACCAATGAAAGTTACATAAAATATTTTGAAACAAACCTCGACAAAAACCCAAGTCGAGCAAACCCTTTTAAACCACTCTCTCTTCTTTCTCTTTACTTTTGACAACCATTACCAACACCACCAAATAGAGACGTGAGAGCAGCGAGAAACTTAATTTCTCTTTAACTAAAAGGGGAACAACCTATAATCTCTATGAGAATCGCTTCTCTACTAGAAACAAACAAGCCTCTCAATCTTCGGGAGTCTAAAAGAGGCACCATCACAATGTTTCTGTTCCAATGAGGCTTTCTTCTCTCTAAGAGGAAATTGCATATGCACATGAGGCTCTAGCTTCCTCTCTCTCTAGATGAACCACCATTCACATATGGTGACCCAAATAGGACACACGACTTACCATATAGTGACCCTAAGGTTTGAGGTCCTTTTTTGGGTGGGCATGATTCCACTTTATAAAATATAACTTATTCGATATTTTTGGGGCTTGTGGATCTCTTTCAATTTCTCAAAAATGTGAAAATGTCGAAATCAATCTCCAAGCATAAATGGGGCTCTTGCCATGGGAGGGCATCAAAATAGCATGTACAAGCCGTTTCCATGGAAATGGGTCTCCTAGAGACCTTTCCAAGGAGCCAAACAGACCCTTGTGATTAGTTTTTGGAAATTTACTTAACAAACCCTCCCCCCATAAAATATGGGTAAAATAAAGATCTCACATTAAAAAGTAATACCACATATATTTCTACAGAAGGTCGATTTTTCATCTAAATTGCCATCCCTTTTCCCCCCTTCACACCCCAAGTCCCTAACCGTAAAATACAGTATACCACCCCACCCTCCCTTCTCTCTCTTTTAACTTTCTTGCACTCACTCTCTCTATCTATCTATGCTCGTCTTAAGCATTTTTCAAGAGAATTCTCTTGTACATTATTAATTATCTCAAGAATATAGAACCTCTATATATCTATATCCAACAAATAGTAAGAATTGAAAAAACTCATGAACACCTATACAACGCTAATTCTTATCTTAAAATATAGGATTATACACCCAACTTTCTCATACATATTGATTATAGTATACACTTTCCATGGTAATCCTACAAGCAACATATACTTAACCCCCCCGCTCAAATTCAATATGCTTTAAGAAAGATCAACTGGAGATTGGACCTTAACTAGCAAAGACAATCGGTTGGGTGAGCCTTTGTGAGAACTTCGAAGTAATAAAGGACAAAGTAAGGGTACCTTGAAGAAAATAACAGCGAACAAAGTGACAAATAATTTCAATATGTTTCATCCTTGCCACGGCACGACCCTATAATCAATCTTAAATTGCACTCTTGTTATCTCAAAAACATGGACTATGGGCAGATTGAATAAAGCCCATGCCCTGAAGAAGCCATCGCATCCAAAGAATTTCCATCACAATATGTGCAAGAGCCTAATACTCAGCTTTAATGCTGAAATGATCAAGCACATATTGTTTCTTACTTTTCTATGAGATAAGAGAATCACCTAGGAAACATAAAGAAACACGTAATAGAATGACAATCGGTAACATCTCATGCTCAATCCATATCACAATAAGCAGAAAGTTCAAAAGCAGATGCATTGGAGACAATCAAGCATTGAAACATTGTGCTTTGAACATTGCACAAGCTTTGAGCACACCGGTATAATGAGTAGAATGGAGCATAAGCATAAACTGACTAACCACATGAATGGAATGACTAATATCATGGTGATTAATGGTTAAATAATTAAGATTACCAACAATCTGTCAGTATTGATTAGGATAAAACAGCAGCTCTTCATATGTAGGATTAAGTTTCATATTCAATTAAAGAGTAGTATCAACAATATTATTGTCTATTAAAGTACCCCGCTTTGGAGATCTGATACATACTTGACTTGGGAAAGAATATACCTGCAACATGATGAATCCACAAAATACGAAAGTTGGTCAAGGTATTTCATTTCGAAAGACTTAGGTGAAGTTGCAAGAAAATATCAAAGTTGGCCAAGGTAAGTTTTTTCAAAACACTTAGGTGAAGTTGAGTATCGTAGCCTACAGAATAATTGACGGTGATCACCATATGGACAACATACAGAGGCAAACGAAATAATCCCTCAAGGAGATCCTCGAACAAAGAGGGCAAAATCATAGGCATTTTGAATGAATCGAGAACAAGGATAACATAGTAAAACTTCTCAAAACAAGTACGAGGCACCCATTTAATTCCATAAAAGCATTGTGAAACTAACAGACTTGATAGGGCTGATGGGGCAGATCGAGATGAGGTTTTATGTATGCTTCTTCAAGAAAACCACCACGAAAAAAGTTATTTTTTACATCCATATGAAAAAAGGGCCAATGGCAATCAGAAGCAACAATTAAGGTCTTGACAAACGTTAGACGAGAAACTGATGCAAAGGTCTTGTCATAGCCAACTCCTTATTCTTGAATGAACCTTTTGGTAACTAACTACGACACTAAATGGTCAGAGTTGGTCGTAGTTTTATCAACCCACTGACAACCTACTACAAACTTATTAGGAGGTTGATCACTAAGATCCCAAGTATGGGTTTTGTGAAAGGTTTTTTTACGTAATTTGTTTCCAATTTGAATCAAAGGCTCTTTCTTTATATATATATATATATATATATATAGGATATTGGCACTTGAAGAGAAAGAATAGTAGTCAAGAAATAATTATAATCTAAAAAACATTGAGGGGCAGATTGCACCCATATAGGATAGCAATATTCACTAAGTATGGGCAGCAACGTCATGAGGCACAAAATCAGGATGGGGCCCATCAAATACCAAATTAACAGAATTGGAATCAGGAAGGGGCCCATCAAGTACCTAATCAATAGGGTTAGTCATCTGAATGTCCTTTGGAGGAGGTACACTACTGGTGACAGGGTCAACATTGGATGGACTAGGTTCACTATGAATTGAATCTACGAAGAGATCAAGAAACTGAAAGAGCTTA